TTTTTAAGTAGCTCCCCTTTTCATTTAAGAAAATCTTCTTCGCAGCTGAAGTACGACTAACTGTCTCCATGAAGCCTATGATTAGTATGAATGTGAAGGATAAACTATCACTCCTGGCCTCATCAGTGTATATCTATCAATTCACCTGCTCGTGTGGAGCCAGGTATGTCGGCCTTACCCAGAATTCTCTATCCAAATGTATCACCGAACACTCACCAGTATGGTTTTACAAAGCAGAAAATCGATGGCCCCGCAGCTCTATCTTAGAACATCTGATAGATTCCGGTCACCAAGCTACACCCCAAACAAACTTCAAAGTCGCCTACACAATACGAAGCAGTCTTTCTAAAAGTGTACGAATCAGACTTTTCCAAACTGCAGGAGCAATGGCAATTCACTTGCTAAGTCCTGAACTCTGCATGCAGAAGAAGCTAGTTCACTCACTACACTTACAGTGGACGTAATCTGTCTTAATACCCAACAGGTAAATTCTACTTCTTTCTGTCTCTTCGTTAGTGTTATTTTGTCTTTACAATTGTAATATTTTACATGTTCAACTTTCTTGTTCTCTACACCCACCCGATTTAATTTCTACACTTCATTACCACTGTTACTGACTTGACCAACGCTCAATTTCTAGTCATTTATGTTACGTCATCCAATTTATTTTTTTTCAGTTTTAGTCCTAATTTAAAAGAACATTTTAAGGTCTATTGAGCTTACCATAAAAAATTAGCAAAACTATAAAAAGATGCTAAAATAATTGTGAAGAACATAAGTTGATTGAATTGCAAAAAGCAATAAAATCTGATAAATATGATTACACAGTTAACTAAGAAAAGGCGTTAAATAAAGTAAATCAGAATCCGAATTATATAGCAAACTGAAATGATTGGTAGCTGGTATCGTTAGTGATGAAATAATCAGATACAGAATGAACGGTCTTCTGGTTCAATTGAATACAATTTTGATATAAGAATAAAACTTGTGCACTGTGGTAGAGTGTAATTCCATTATGGGTAAATTTTGTTTTGATAAAGTCTCACAGCGTTATACAGTAGTGTTCACTGATGACGTTTCGAGCACAGTTTATTGCTCATAATCATGTCAAGGATAGTTGGTTGGTTTGCTGGTTAGTAGTGTGATAAGAAAAGCTTTGTTAATATTTAAAGGGAGGACCGTGAGGCCTCCCCACTGACAAAAACTACACGCCCGAGCGCACCCGATTAGGATCCGTTGCGAGTTTCAACCCACCGAGGTGCAATGGTGAGCCTCCACCCGGGGTCAGAGCATTCTTGATTACCCTGAACCTGGCGCCAGGTAAGTTTGGTATGATTATGAGCAATAAATTGTGCTCGAAACGTCATCAGTAAACATTACTGTATAACACTGCGAGACTTTATCAAAACAAAATTTACCCATAATGAATACAATTTTGACTATCTTAATACTCATTCTGAAATAATTTCAATGACACCTTTTGCTAGATACTGTTTTATACTATTTATGGATTTATAACTGTATAGATTGGGGAAACAATCTACTGAAAACCTTTGTTGGCTTGAATGCCTTTCGATAACTTCCAATTAACTAAAAATAGAATAACTATTCAGTAGCATGGAGTTTTCTTGAACTTAAATCAGCATGAAGAAGGGTGAGAATAAAAACTATGTATAGCAAACGCTAAGACAGGTATCCCAACTGTGTAAAAAAAATTGATAAGACGCCTTTAAAACAATAAAGCAAAAATATTCATTCAAACATTCAGTAAAAACAGAAAAATTGAGCAAAGAATATACTTTTCGATAATGTCCTCTCCTGGCTCTACAATTATATATATATATATATATATATATATATGTTTATGTACACAGTATATTCTAGAATAGTCGTCATTACCAGTATTGATTTTTTTTTAAATACTGTCTGTTTGTTAAGCAAGTTGAATGGATTTACAGTTCAAGAATGATGCATAAGTTACGATAATAAGCATAAAAATTTAATTGCAAGTAGAATATCAAATAAAATTAAGGAAATTTCCACAACAAATTGAGGATCAATAAAATCTTGATGGTCAAGGCAAAGAAAGTGTCTGAATCAACTTCTTTTGGATACATAACTTAGGTTTCTTAACGTAGATCCCAACAGCTTAAGCAATATATAATAGATGAACTCTTAAGGTGAAGTTAAGATTTTTTTGGCATGCCATGGATGACTTTGAACGCCTCGTTAATATCAATCTTGTGTTCTGTATTCACAAGATGAGATAGAACAGCTCCATGTGAATGGGTTTTGTTTGTCCTCTAGTTAACCACTTTGCAGGATGATGTTTGGAAATCTGACGATAAACACGCCTAATTGTACGGCCTCTATAACTGGTTCCACAGGAACAGTCAAACTGGTAGATACACAACGAAACATAACATCTGATATGATTGCAGAGTTCCTTTAAACACACAATACAAAGACCAACTATCTGATGAAATTAAAACCCTTATTAATCACTTCCGTTCTACCTACTCACGTATATTGAAGCGAAAGAGTAGAAAGCTTGTTATGCAATGAAGAAGGGTTACTGTAAATGAATGTGAACACTGAACCTTGGTTCATTGACCTTGGTCACCATTAGCGAGCAACTCGAAGGCGCGAATGATTCAATCGTGTACAAGTTGGAAGAAGACGAAAGAATGCGAATAAAACTTTGTATAGAGGATTGATTTTAGTTGACGGAGAATACTATCTGTTGTAATTCATTGCGATCTTCTACGCAGTATAATTGTCGATTTGGAGAGTCTTCGGAAATAATAGGAACGTAGGGTTAAGTTCCTTGACAGTTACTTCTCAGTAATCAGCATAGATTCGTGACCATTGTACTTACAATCAATCGCCTAGCATGAATTTTTAGTATTTTAGTAAAAAGTGCCAGTTAGACAACTTATAGTTTTACACAAGACTGAAGTAAATAATTATTTTAACTGATCCAATTCTTTTATCATTACTACCACTCAGAACTTGGAAAGATAGTGACTTACTGTAATTAACTTTATATCTATTTACTCTTTGGTTCAACAGCTTTCCAGCAGTGGTTACTTTTATATGATTTTCTACTTGAAATCCGTCTAAAATACATAGTAATAATCAGTATAGTTACTTTTTAAATGATAACTAACTATTTAAATGAAGAAATTTTGTAAATATTAAATAAGCACTCTGTAATTCTGATGAAACCTTGTTAGCCATCAACATAACAATGCTGATAGATCACATCAGGTTCCATTTTACGCATTTACTTTAGTGCATATGTATTTTAGGGTGTCATTTTATATTTTGTCAATATACTGCACTAAAACCTCTCAAACTTTGCCCTACGACATTCAGAGGAATTTGAATCCTTTCAACTGTCTTTTCTTAACAATATTGTTAAGCATACCCTGTAAGTAGATTCAGATATCACTCAGACACATTCACACAGGTCACCAACCATTCCTCGTGGTCGTTTTACTTGATACTATCTCATAAATGAATAATAATATCTCCTCAAGGTGTTATCATTCCACAATTACGTTATTTATTCACCACAGGAAAATATTTCAAAAGCATCCTGACAGTGGAAAGTTAATCCATTTAGCACAAGTCACATGTTTAAGATTCCCGATAGTTTGAACGAATATTGGAACAATTTATCGTATTAACTAGTTTGATGAATATAAGAATTTTCAATAGTTGGTTTGTAAGGGTTAGATTTGCTTTGACAAGTTGATCATGGATTGATATCAGTTAGAGAACCATTGAAAACCAACCAGGGAGTACTGGACAGCTGTTTCATCCTAGTTTTGGGAATCATCATCATTTTCAAAATTAATCTGATGCTTGCTAGCGACTTCCTATAAGATGTAGTATCCTGGAGTCCTAGCGAGAAGTCGTGACTACTTAGGTCCATCCAGTCAAGTGCGAAGATGGATTTCCCGTCGATGACATTGGTAGGTGGTCATGCTAAATCATGAATTAGTAGAAGCTATAATTCATGGGCTTGCCATTGAATCAGGTCCCAGTGGCTGAGTGGTATATGGTCTTACGCTTTAACCGGAAGGTCCTGGGTTCGAATCCCAGTGGGAGCGAACTGCGAATATAAAAATATTTAATGATGTTCATAGTATTAGTGTTCATAGTATTAGCTCTTGTGGAGCTGAGTACATCGGCCGTACCATGCGCCGACTTGGAAAACGCGCTCACGAACACTACCCAGCCTGGCTAGTAAAAGGAGACCAAAAACGTGTATGCAGTTCAATGACAGAGCATCTGGTCAACTCAGGACATTCAGCGCCTTTCGAAGAATCCTTTAAAGCAATATAAAAGATTCAATCAAACCTATCAAAGGGAGTCAAATAAAGACATATGGGCATAGCCGAGGCGCTAGCTATCCAAACCCTGTCCCTGCCATGGCCATCACAAACAGGTGAAATTTTTTTTAGTAATGACAATCTCATCGCCTTTCTTATCTAAACTTCCTGTTTATTCATGTCATTTTAAGTTTTTCTTAATCCCTGCCTACACTACCATATTTCCATATCCACACTTCCTGTTTATTTTGTCATTTTACTATTTCTACATATTTAATCCCTGACTGCATAAACAATTATTCATCATATTAGATTTTTATCCAAACATCCTGTATATTTTGTTATTTTTACATTTCTAGCCCCCAATTTCACAATGCCAGTCTTCTTAGTTATTATAATGCTACTCTGTTCGAGTTTTATCCATCCCCCTGTTTATTATGGCATTCTAATTCCTAATTATAATTTTTACTAGTTTGACCCTTAACCGGAAATTATTCTGGAACTTTCCCATCCATTTGATATAAATACACGAATGTACAGCCTAGATGATGACTTCATCGGAAAGAAAATTTTCTTCGCTGCAATTGTCTTTTTAATAACTCCTATGACCAAATGTGTATATTCCGTGATTTAAAATAATTCAATTTATCATTCACTTACCGTTTTTGCCTTTTTGAAATTAAAACGTGTCAAGATGTTGCTTGTTTGCATTTTGTGATTTAATAGATTTGATGAAGTAACTTTTGAAGGAATATGAGTTAAATATTCGAATGGTAAAGTATTTGATGTATCGACTGAATAGTCATCAAATAATTCTGGTGAACAACTTTCATTATATTGGGGATAATTATAATACTGAGAGCCTTGATGATAATCATTCGTTAGAAATGATCTATGCTGATAAGCATACTGAGGTGAATACAAGGCTGAAATTGATGACGGCGATAATGATGAAAATGATTTCCCTGAATCTGACGATGATGATGAATATGATGAAAGTCTATTGGCCTTTGGAAAGTGACCAGAAGTTTCATAAAACATGTCATTATTATTATTATCAATGTGATCTTTAGGTAATTCATATGAATAATGAAATGAATCAATCGATAATTTATGCTTTTTTAATAATTTTAACAAAGTGGTTTTTTCTTCACATTCAGGAAAATTTCTCATAGCATATTTGACAAATAATTTTGAACGTTTTGAATATCCATAAGTTTCAAGATAGTCTTCATATAACTTGAAGAGAATATGTTTGCTGTGATTTATCATATGCTGGTGAGAAAGTGAAAATGAATTCGGTGATGGTGGCGGCGTTGATGATGATAATGATGATGATGAGTCGTCTGTGACGTAATTACTGCTACTACTACTACTGCTGATATTGCTCAGATTAGTCGATCTAACTGTACCTTTTTTATTGAAGTTAAAATTTGATTTAATGTTTTTTAAATCCCATTCAAATTTCTTTGACAAATGAATAAATGAATGGGTCATTGGTAAGAGAATTAAATTTTCAATGATACATGGATCTTCAATGATAAATTTAATATTGGATTTTGTTGTCTTCAAGTAAAATCCTTTAAAACAGTTGTTGTTACTTTTGCTAATTTTCGTATTAGACATAGTATCTGAAGTAGTAATTGTTCCAGTATTATTATCATCACTAAACATTTGAACTTGTATATTGTTTTCATTCGATTTCAACTTCATAACAGGAATTTGAAAATATGATTTCTTTTGTTTCTTCATAAATGATAAAGGCGACGTGGGTGACTGTAAACACTGCTGATCATTAGATACTGGACTGTCTAACAGATTTTTAGGCAAAAGGTTTATTGCTGTAGGACTAAGATTTCCATTGTCATTAAAACAATTACTATTATCACTACTGGTGTAGTTATTAGTACTACCAGTTAGATCACAACTGATAATGCTGTCTGATTTCTGTTTCATGGTACAACTGTTGTTGCATTGTTTTGTACAGCAGTATTTATCTCTTCTTTTTTTTCTGTTTTCCTCCTCAATATCATTAAAATCACATGTTCAACTGACCCTGTAGTGGGGTCTTCTATGCGCGCATTTATGTGTATAAAAATAAACAAAAAATGAACATTATATGAAGTTTTTTTCAAATTCTCTGTAAGTGTTAACTAATAATGATGAGGTCATATTTAATGGGCTAAAAATAGTTATAAAAAAGAATTCGCTTAGTGTTATATGACTTAAATAATTCTTTACAAATTCTCCGCTAACTTAAGACGGATCAGCTGTTTTACGCTGTCACAGGGAATTCTCATGACACAAAGAAATGGTGTCGAGAAGTTTTTTTTATTGAAAATTATTGTTTACTGAATTATATCAAGATGCGCAGTTTATAAATACCATTTGAAGATTTCAAGAAAATGATTTCAATACTTAAAATTGTTTAGTTCTGTCACACTTGACAAATTCAGAACTTCATATCGCCGCTAAAAGAAGCTTTTACTTCTAAATATCACGTTATGAATTTATTGTCAGGCACGGTTCACCTAGATCTTTTACAGACATCTGAAACTGTTACTATAAGATTGACTTACGTAGAACTATTTATTCATTACGAATGCATTCAGACGTTGTTCTTAGCTTCGCCAAACTTGAGTTCCCCTAATTCTTTTCTTCGTCTTTTTTTCTTTTATTTCGTCGATGACGTTCAGTGTATGACGTTTCAGAGAGCGATGGTTCGGGTGGATATGATTGCGACGAAGACACTTCCAGAAGTGCTTGGGATATTCTTTCTTGTCAATACAGCTCCTTTTCTTTTAATCTGCAACCTTGAAGGAACTTATGTCCCCTCTGAGATCCGAACTCACGTCACCTAAACAAAGGAGTTGTTGATATTAGATGGTAGGAAGTGATCGTCAGGAAGCCCAGCCTGACCCAAGTCTCATGCTAATTGACAGTCACCAGCCAGCAAGGAGTATTGAGCCCACGTCAGTGGTAACGTCTCTGACTGCAGCACTGAGTGATGAGGGTTCGAATCTCAGAAGGGACATGAGTTCGTTCAAGGCTGCAGATGTCTTGCTGACGAGTTGGAACTAGCATGAAACTTAGATCCAAGGCTTCCTGCCAATTGCCTGTAATCACCTAATACAGGTATTGTTTCCAATTTCCTTATTATTTGTTTTATCATTACATGACCCCACCTAATTCACCTCATATAGTGATTATTTCATGATGAACTACAGACCATTGTCGTACTGTCTCCTGTTTGATTCGTACTATCTTTGTACTAGATATTCACCAAATATGTTCACCAAACTCGAACAGACTTGTCATTTTATGACTGTACTGTAACTGATTGTCATCACTGTCTCGTATTGCAGAACATTTTGTAATTGAATTTAACACACCACGTTTGCTACACAAGTACTATTTACTTTGGCCGCTTACAACTAGTCTGTTATTCACCGTGAAAACAATGCATTCGCCCCATAAGTGGCCATTACTGTAGTGAAAATAAATATTTTAAAATAAGTAACACTTGTGAAAAAATACCTAATTTGCTAATTGCAAATTAATTTGTAATTCACACAGTAGTCTGAGGAAGGTGAAATTTCAACACAGTTTCCTTTGGAGAATGAAATTATTCAGTTCACAATATATGATATGCTTAATACCATAAGTAGTAAGCGAAAAACCGAATAAAGATGCATAAGACAACAGTCTGTCTGTCTGTTTTCGACACAGAACTTTGCACATATGTGCGGCAGTTCAAGTCGCCACACTCCCTTCTTGTAGCACACAAAGCAAGAGAAGAAAGTAGGAGAAATCCATAATATAGACAGTAAACAGAGGTGTGAGACAAAGGAATAGTAATAACGAAGAACAAAACAGTTTCATTGGAAATCATAAGTCACAAGGAGTGGATGCATCTGCACAAGCCATTGAGAACGATTTTGAGCCATGTCACCAATTGTTTCCAACCATTGGTTTTCACCGTCCCAAGGACCCCAACCAGGAAGTCTACACCTTCCTACGTGGCTTAGACTAACTGTTGTAGATTTCATTGACTGGTGCCATGTTTTCGTTTGACCGCCGCTAGCTCTTTTCCAGCCTGGCTCTATATCAGCTAACATTGCCTGTTGTCGAGGAAGGAGATGACTAGGCATACGTAGTACATGTCCTAACCATCTCAGTCCATGTAATTTCACAGTCCCGTCGACTGACTTCCCCGCCTTACCTAGCACTCGACGCCTAACCTCAATATTGCTCACCTTATTATACCACTTCACACGGGAGATAGAACGCAGACACCTATGATCGAAGACAGCTAATCTTTTCATGTCTTCTGCTCTCAATAGCCAGGTCTCACAGCCATACAGGAGGACGGAGCGGACTGATGAGCAGTACACACGCCCTTTGGTCGATAGTCAGATATCACGTCTACGCCAGAGACGGCGTAAACTGGCATATGCGAAACTAGCCCTACTGAATAATAGGGGTGAGTAGTTGTATGCCACAGTCATCAACCAGGTTGAAGTGATTTCATTTCTGAACGGCTGGTTTACTTGTATTGGTTGGAATTGATTAACGGCGTACCCACTGTGACTGGCAATTACTAGTGTGTTTATGGAATTCGCAAATGTCGGTAGGAGTCTTCAGATTAATACTGTATAAACACAATTATTTATACTAGTTTAGAAGGTTAAAATACATACAAACATATAGATTTGATGACAGCAAATTCAACAGGTGAGTGACCTATAAAAAGTGAGTAACAGTTTTTTAACATCTTTAGGAAGCCAATAATTTTCATCAAAGTACATATTAGCATATGAAATGAAGTTACCATGGTATCTCAGCTTAAGAATTCATCATCAGATAGTGTTTTATTTCATAAATGATGATTGTTTTAACTTTACTACGAGAAAGAGTTGTGTTCAACAACTAATTTATTTTGTAACTGTTAGAACCTGAAAATAGCTCAGATTGATCTGGAAAGCACTGCGTAGACATCATATATATCCTAATTCGAAAACTCTTCAAAACCACGCTAGGAACGTCATCAGTTCCATAAATTCACGTATATTCGAATTGCATAGGAATATATCACAGAGGTCTTCTGCTCTTTCTGAATTATCATCAAGCGACAGACAATCGTTTAATGAATATGTTACACTGGTGCAGAAAAAAAGAGCTAAAAGTGTTAAATCGAATTTGAACAAAAGCCTGAAACTCGTCGAAGTACGGAGGAAGTTCCCCGGTGTTCCTAACAAATTTTTCCTCAATCACTCTTTAATTTCGTTATCAACAGTACAACTAGAAGCTCTATCCCTTGGATTAAAATTCTGCAAAGTAAATCTTAACAGCAACAGACTTCACACAAATATTCAATTCAAGAAACTTATAAGTCAAACGAATGAGATTACTCCAGTTTCCGGCACAGAATTTCTACATTTTAAGTCAACAATCTTTGAATGCTGTAATCAGTATCTCAGCTTGAAAACTAAAGCCTGACGTCTCCTCACAAACGAAAACAGGCAGCGACTCAAAGAACTGCGAGACAATAAAGATTTAATAAAAACACGTCCCGACAAAGGTTCAAGAGTTGTTCTAATGGACAGAGACGTATACATTAATAAACTGACAACTCTTATACCAGATGACAACAAATTTTCCAAGGCCAACAACGAGAAAAATAGGATACAAGTGATTAAAAAACAACTAACGGATGTCCTCACAAGAGTGAAGAGAGACCGTCTGATAACTGAGTGCCTGTTCTATCGCCTGAAATCGACAGGACCAGCTATTCCCCGACTCTATGGCTAACCAAATGTGCAAAAGCCGGTTTGCCGCTTCGACTAATTCTAGATATGTCAGGGTCACCATACAATCCGATTACCGAATGGCTATCTGAGATGTTGGGGCCTGTAAGGCAACACCTATGCAAGTAATCCCTTCGTGACACTTCAGAGATTGTTGAATGCATAAAAGATTTGAATGTAAATAGTAATATCCCTAGACGCTGAATCTCTCTCTACTAAAGTGCCAATAACAGAAACAATTTGCTTACTGTGCAATTATATGAAAAACTCGAATATAGGCTTCGGAATACCAACATCATATCTAAAAGAATTAATACTGAGATGCAAACTGAATGTACAATTTGCTTTCAATGACAAGGTCTACAGACAGACTGCTTTATGGGGAGTTTGGAAAACGGCGTTTTAAAATCAGCAATAAACAAATTATTACTTTACAGAAGGTACATCGACGATATCTTTATAGTCTGCTACGTTAACTCCAACTTCATTTGTAACTTACAAGAATTTAATAATTCCCACCCTTCGAATAAATTCACAATGGAATTAGAAAATGGTTCAAAGATTCCATTTCTGCAAGTGGAATGAACAAGAAAAGGTGAAGCAACTCTGAAGAGATCCATTCACAGAAAACCAACGTGGAATGGCCAACTAAAGAACTTCTATAGTTGGATACCTGTGAGTCATAAACGAGCTCTCATCATCTCACTAACCCACCGTATTAGAAGAATCTGCAACAGTAATTGCTAAGAAGAGGAACTCCTATTCCTCAAAAGTATCCTGGCTCAAAATGGTTACCCGGCGCGTTTTGTCGAAAAGAACATGAAACTAAAAGCAAAGGGAGAAGAATGCAGTTCATCGTCGAAGAAAACTGTGTGTATGAATCTGATCTTCAGAGAGGACCTGTCAGCTGATATCCCAAAGAGACACATCTCCATCTCTTTAAAGAAGACTTTCTCTGCATCAACACTAAGAGTGACATTCTCTGGCCGCTCAATACTTCTAAACAATGCAAAGGACAAACTCCCGCATATGATCAGTTCACTGTGCATATACCAGTTCACCTGCTCGTGTGGAGCTAGGTACATAGGTCGTTGTGTGCGCGTCCTTTCAAAACGTGATAGAGAACATTACCCAGCATGGCTGTAGAGACGAGGCACCCGTTCAATCATAAGTGCCATAACTGAACATCTGATCAACACCTCCCACAGCATTTCAACTGATTCATCCAAATTCATTTACAAAATAAACAGAAACTAACCGAATGCAG